ATTAATCGAGAATGAAAATACTGTGTTTTGCATGCTTTCTGTCACCAAAACTGTTTAACGTGAATTTAAAAAAATTGGAAATGACTTTTGTTTTCATTCCAAGTGAATCGGAGGTGCAGGTGTGAAAGTGGCGTTAATGTGACAGAGTTACTTGAACAATGAATCATTTTGTACACAATTAAAAATACAGTGTATGCTTTCCTTTGAGATGTAAGTTGTGAAACTAATGAGCAGGCATGTGACAGAGTTACGACTCAGCTCTAACGAGACGAAGGGAATCTTATTATAAGTTTGTTTTGACTGTATTTTTTAGTACTCATTTCCCCTGTCGGATCTCTTTAGGGAAACCGCCTTGTCCACCACCACATGCAGCACACACCTCACAGACTGATTGGTCATTGCAATACACACGCTACAGCACAGTACGGAGTCCTGTACAAAACATCACTAATTATTGATCAGGATTTTTTATATATATATATATATACATGAAGCTTCCCCTGGGAGCTTTGTGCGGGTACCCCTTCCTTTCAGTTGTCTCCAGTCCCTGAGGGCTTGCAATCAATGAGCGTGCTGCTTGTCTGTGCTGTAATGGCCCATTTAGAATACAACCGTCACACACAGCTGCCTGAACAAAGCATTGCTTGTTTGTTTGTATGTGCTTGTTCACCGTTTTCTCTTCTTTTTTGCCTCTGTCCTGTTTGCCTGTTGCCTTGTGTAGAGCTTTTTCCCCCCTCATTCTGCTACCTGTCTGTTGTACATCTGATCGATCTGTTTGTGTCAGCTCCCTTAATGGGCCCATTGTTTGGCAGCTTCATTAATACGCTGGATGTAATTGCCATTTTGTGTGGAACAAAAAGGCGGTGGAATTAAAATGAGCTCAGGTCTCCTGAATTGGTTTGATGAGGTGATTGCTGAAAGAGTTTCAGTGTGTGTGTGTGGATCAAATCGATTGCTAGCCCTGGGAGCGTTCTCTTACCTGCTCAAGGTGGGGATTAGCGAGAAACTCATCTAATCACTTTAAGCTGTGGAGACTCACTTTGGCTTTTCTATTGTTTTGCTGCCATTAAATGGACAGAGTGTTCCGTTTCTGCGGTAGATACAATCGCAGACTTTTATGAGTAGAGGGAATGACAATGAGGCAAAGAGGAGAAGAGATATTACCAGGCAAACGCGCCCAGGTTTGGGGAATGGAAACCTCATGTTGAGAATGCTTTTCTGCTAAGGTAAAGCTGCACATAAATGCCTAACTCAAGGCATATTTAAGAGAATCCTTGTTTGCCTGGTCTGTTTATTGAGACCTGTGGACTGTCCCAGTATTCTAGACATTTGATCCTAACTGTATTTTTTCCAAACAGTTTTAAGAAATCCACTCTGATCTGATGGCTTCATCAGTCTTGAAAGAAATGCTCCTTCACTTCAACTGATAAACTGTTCTTAATATTTAACATTTAAATATATTTAACAGAAACATCTAATATAAACCTTTTTTTGACTAACTTATCATTATGCATGCATGCAACAGGAGCCCATTCATCATTATAAGAATTTGAAGCCCTCACTTTTCATGTAATATGTAGAGTAGCAGAGCATAAAGGCCTTGAGCAGCAAATGGGATAAAGAACACCAGTGGGAGTGAATGTAAGATTTAATGCTCACTGTAACAGAGAATTTTAAAAGAATGTCAAGCTGCTGCACATCAAAATTGGATTACCAAATTAATTATCATTTTACATTTTATACAAGATAAATTTTCATGAGTGGGGACTGATAGTAAATCCTTAGGTGAATGGGGTGAACCCTGAACTCCAGACCATGAAGGTTAGTGACACCTTAAATGGAATAGCTCAACATTTTGGGAAATTAACTTATTCGCTTTTTTGCTGAGAGTTGGATGAAAAGACGGATTCCACTTCCTAGTCTGTCTATTAAATACAGACATATCTGCTTGTTAAGTGTAAATTTCCACTTCTGGGTCCAAACTCCCCCAGAACCAAAGGGGCATCATCCTCTACAAAATAAGAGATGGCTAGCCTAGCATAAAGACTGGAAATTGTCCAGTGCTAATGAAATTTGCCTTCCAGCACTTCCAAAGGTCACAGATTAATACGTAACATTTTGTTTGTTTAATCTGCACAAAAACCAACAGTGTAAAAACAAAAGGTGTGGTTTTATGGGGTGGGGTCATGTGCCATTGTCTGATCAGATTCATGGAAGTCGCTGCACTTGGTCAAGAGGTGTATTTTGTTATAGTACCTTTCAACAGATCCATGTTGGCTGTTTTACCCTTGTTTGTAGTCTTTATACTAAGCCTAGCTACCCTTTCCCTGGTTGATATTTAGACAGTGGTACTGATCTTCCCATCTGACTGTCAGAAAGAACGCTAACCAATACATTGCTGTGACATACTGTAAATGGCAGTAACTCTTATGTTGTCTTAAACAAAAACAATAGAGATTTGGAACTTGCTATGGATTTTCTTGTGTAGGTATTCCTGTCTATGGATGACTTAAGTTTGTTACACTGTTAACTTTACTTTTGTCTCTGACAGCTTTCCAGATAATTACACAGGAGCAGCACGGAATAGCATGAGAGCTCTATGATTGTAGTTTGTAGCAGGGAGGGAGAAGATGGAAGCTTGAAGCCTGTTGTTGTGGTGGTGATTGACATATTTCAACAATATATGAGATTGCTTGAAAGTTGTAATTTGAGTGAAAACTAGTACGTGCAAACAGCTGTGTCATAACCAAATTTGTAATCAGAGCAAAGGCAACAATTTCATTATTGTTGGCTTGTAAAACATAGTCATTTAAGTTCTACTCCACCTCTCTCATTTTTGTACATTTTTCAGTAGCGTGCATATTGTTTGAGGTCTATAACCTTAGCTGTTTGGCTCCAGTATAATTCTTTTTTGCTGCTGTTTACCACCTGTTGTTGTCTAAGCTGTAGTTTACTTGAGACCAGCCTTCACTTCATATCTCAGATCTGCGATTTGGGAGCGTCCACATTCTCTGGTGCAGTCTCCTGCCTCCCTTTGCTCCTGTGTGGTTTCAGAGTCCATGGTGTAGCTCAGCAGACAGTGTGAGCAGCCATCTCTTTAGACGGGCCCTGGGCAGAGACTGGTGGGCACAGAACAGCTGAACCCAATCAACCTATCGATCTCTGCTGGGTTACTTGGGCGAAGCCGGCCTGGGCGCACATCCTCTGCTCCGGGCGACAGCTTCCCCTCCCCGCCGTCTCCTTCCCCCTCATCTTCTGTCTTACTTTACACCGGTTGCCATGGAGACCAGTGTTCCCATTTCTTCTCTTCTAAGTGCTTCTTTCACTCAAGCTGGGACTCTCTCTCCCTGTTTCTTCTGTTTTATATATCTCTTGGCCTGCGTCTTTCTTGCTGTCTTTTTGTTTCTTGCTCTTGCTCAATCTCACTTAAGATCATGTGCACAGATTGCTTGTTATGTACAGTTATCATACATTTAGCTAATTACGAGTTACTTGGTATAAGTTCTTTAACACACTCTTAAACGCCACTTTCTGCATCAGAAACTTGTGCATTTCTGTTCCTTCAAGGTATTTTTATAAGTGCTCAGAAGATGGTAATAGACACATCGGTAACTTCTGTGTGTGTGTGTGTGTGTGTGTGTGTGTGTGTGTGTGTGTGTGTGTGTGTCATTTACACAAAAATGCTCTCACTTTGCAAAATTAATCAGGATGACATAGACTGACAAGCAGAGAAATATCTGACACACATACATGTACGTAAGGCATTTACTATGTGTGTGTGGTGTGCAAAATAAATAAAATGTATGTATGTAGTTTTTAGTTTCTATCCCTGTGACTTCACCAGGTGACAGAGTAGCTCAAATCCTGTGTTAAATGTGGCTGTTTTGATTGCTCATAGCATGAGTTTAGTTAAGTCTAGTTAGTAAAATAGATGTGGCCAATGTGGCATAATTTGGTCATGCATGTGGATGGTCGAGTGTTACTGCCTCCTTTCTTCTGGGGGGATTTGGAGCCTGGCTGCAGGGGCCACTGACATATGGGAACAAGAAAGGACTTCCTGAAGAACCCTATTGTTTAAAATATCACTCAAATGTCATACCAGTTAACATGCATTTAAATTCCTTTCCTCTATAATTTTATTTTTTTTTTTTTTTTTTTTTTTGCAAGAATTAACATATGTAACTAACGTTTTCATAGTAAGGTTAGTTTAGGGAGAAATCTGAACTACTGCATGAATTTGAAGATTACCAACAAGGTGCATGTAAACTCTCTGTCTGATTTCCTGCTTAACTAGGTTTCTCTGAGTAAGCTGATTTTTTTGTGTGCTTGTAAACATGCCACAACACACAATGTGGTTATAATTCTCTTTTAATTGAACCAAAGTGGTTACTTGCAAATAATTCTTGCTGTCTGCTTTGTAATCAAATATTCTATATCAACAGATTACCTTTATGTGGTAATATATTTAGATATGCACTGTACTGGAGTAAAACCTTCCAGTTTGTAGTCACACCCATGTCAACGGAAGAAGCAGCAAAACCTGTGAGGTGCTTTTTCATTTTCTCACCTTCAGTCTGACAGAGCTCTTGATACAATGGAAGAAGAGTGTTAAATGTGATTTTTAAAGCATATATTGAAGGTGTAAATGGGTTATCTTTATAGTTTTTTAAATCACCATTTCTAAACTTTCCTGAGCCTAACATAGAAATAATATCCTGGAAAAAAAAATACCCTGCATTAGCACTTTATTGATTTTAGTGGTGCAAGGTGAGGCAGATTGATTTACTTGTGCCCTCTCCCTCCTGCAATCACACAAACGTGCACACTCCCCAAAACTACTCCAAATACTGCACGCCCCCTAACCCTGCCAAGTGATATTATGCTGTTTAATTGCTCTCTCAGATTAAATCAATAACAGTGAGGCATGTGTTGGGTTGGGGTGTGGGGCGGCAAAAAATCAATTGTTGCAGGTTCACGGCCGAGTCAGGAAGGGGTGGTAGATGGAAGCGGTGCAGGAACCGATTGCTGAGACTCTATCCGACTATGAAGTGGCAGAAAAGGTCTGGTTCAACAAAGCCAACAGGAGCTGCGCCGACTGCCACGCCCCGCAGCCGGAGTGGGCGTCTGTCAATCTGGTTGTGGTCATTTGTAAGAAGTGCGCAGGTAAGGGACACCTCTGTCTTTTCGCTGCCTCCTCTGCTTTTTGAAGAATCCACACATGCTGGAAGCAGATGTAAACGCTGATCACCAACATCCTTATCAGTCACTCTGATAAACATCCTGACACATGTAAACACCCGACTATACACAGCTTTGAGTGGACGCAAGCAGCCTGTCAAAAACACTTTATTTGATAGTTATTAAAGAGGTGGGTCCAGAGTAGGGAAGCTGGAGTTGTTGCAAAGTAAATATGAGGAGTAGCTTGGTGATACTGTACACGCCCTGGAAAAAATTCAGGAAAAACTAGCATTTTTATGATATCTTTATATACCTTGAAACTTGTATGCTTGCCTGTAGACAAAATGTACATACATTTTCAGCTGACCTGTTGCGCCCTAACCAAAAGATGCTAGATTATGTTTGAATTATTGCCTGTACTCTGCGTCTGTACTTGTTTTACGTGTAATTAGTGTCAAATTACATGATGCTATACTTCAACCCTCTTAGGAAATTACTTTGCAAGAACTTTCTGGCCCATGAAATAATGTATAACAAGAAAAAAGCATTTCCCCTACCCTGAAATTTCTCAAATCTTTGCCTCTTGCATGGAGACTTTAACTTTTTCAGGAATTCTTTGGTTGAACTTCTGATAGGTTATAAATATGCAACCTATGACTGCTTGGCTCCCCAAAAAGATTGGGAACCAGTTTAAAATATCAGCACACTTCACTGTCTTCTTGTATATCACTCAGAATTATTGACTCTTTTCTGAAATCATAGTCAAAAAACTGTAGAGAGAAAGAAAAAGAGAGACCGTCCTGCGTTGAGAAACTTATGAATCAACACTTAGGCATACTAGTTAAATAAAGCATGTATGATAGGCCAGTGTTGTTAATGTGTGCGCGTGGTCTGATGTGTGTTTGTGCCTATGTGAGTATATACCCTGACCCTGAGGGTTTCCTGAAGTAAGATTTCGGGTGATAAGCCACTTATAGGAGATGATGTTTGCCCTCTGGACTTTCTAATCTATTTGGCAATGCTGGATGGTTCAGATGAATTGACAAGAAAGATTAAGCTGCAGACGAGAACCTGGGGGATCCCGTACTACTTCTTGACCTGCTAAACGTGATTAGAGAGAAGCAGCAGCAGCCATGCTTGATGTGGAGTGGTTTCTGGTTGGTGTGCAGTTTTGTTTTTCTCCAGCATCCTGCTCTTGCCTCCTCCTTTCCCCTCCAGATCTTCTCCAGAACCTTTCTCCTAGAATCATAAATTTGAGTGTGATTCTCTACCTCACCTCTGCAAAGCCTATGTAATAGGTACACATCAAATATCCAACATCCCTTTTCAAACACCCTCAAATGATTTCATTCACAGTGGTGTTTAATATTACATTCTGTCGACACCAGGAAAGAGTTGGTGAATATCTGCAGCAAGGAATCTGTCCTCACGCTGTGCTCCCCTTAAATTAGGTGGCAGTCCATTTGGAATACCAATGACTGCTCACGCTTTTAATTATCACTCTCATGTCGTGGACAATAAAGAGAGATGCTGAACAAGAGGATGAGGAAAGAAGTAATGAGAAGGCTAATGGTAAAAATGATCCCAGATTGGCTGTCCTCTTTTCATGCCAAGATGGAATGAATTTTAATAGCGTGCAGCTTCGCCCTCTGATGTGGAACAGTTTCATATTGCAACATTTTTGAAGAAAATGTTGGACTGTATTGCTCCATTATTTTCAGTTTTATTAAAATTTAATTATCAGCATTTGTCTTGACATAAAAAACAGGAATCAAAGACAAATAATACAAGCAGGGTTGCCTCGATAGTCAAGTGGTTTCAATGGCGTGCCATGTACTGGAGCCCAGTGCATCCCTGATGGGGGAGGTTTGAATCCTGCCACCTATGCATGTACATCTCCTGTGTTTCCAGTTCACCTTTCTGTAACCCACCACTACAGAACTGGGTGACAGTTTGCTTGCATCCTTGACTTTTGTCATCGACTGCAAATTCAAGATGTAAACACTTTTTTTTTTCTAGTCTCTTAACTGGCTGAACCCACATTGCTCAGTATTTTTACTTCCCGAATAACAGGAGTTGTCCCTGTCTCCCACTGGCCTACACAACTACCAGAGGAGGAGACATTACTACAGAGACTGAGAGGCCCCTCTCCACACATGTAATAGTAATAAACACTTTTAAATCGGGATGCAATGGCTGGAAACAGTTGCCGTGGTAACACAAAAATGCAGTGATCGTTGCTGTGCTTTACTTCCTTCTGAGTTGTCTTTGAGTGAGGAGAAAATGCCATTTATGGAGGGTTGGAAAAGTGCTTCACCTGTCTCTAAAATTGCTGGGAAAGTTTTTAATTGGACTTGAAATCCTTGGTGGGTTGGGCGGTGTTTTTGTGTAAGCTTCTGTGATGGGATTGCCTTTTTGTGTGTGGTGGTTTTGATTCCGCAGGAAAGATGAAGACATTTACAACAGGCTGTTTATATAGGATGGTCTCATTGTGCACCCAGTGACGTGCAAATGCAGATGTTTTCCTGCTTTGTTATTCTCACACGAGTGAAAATCCTGTATGTCCTGGTGGTTGGAGCATGGCCGTAGCACTGCAGCAGGCTCCCAGAGTGAAGTATTTCACTTGTTCTAAGGCATAAGTGACACAATCTCGCCCTTTTGGCCTTTTTTTTGTCAGCTGGAGTCATAGCCCATGGTCTCAAAGGCAGAACCTTTTTTTCCAGATTTTTTGGATGGGGTGGCCAGGCTGGGGCACGGACTCATTTAGCCAAGCGCCACATTTGATAGAATATATCACATCGTCTTGATACGCAAGTTGAAACATGTTGTTTGTATTCCCAGAAAGGCCTTCAGCTGGTCCCATGTGTATTTAATTAACAGGAAGACAGCTTTTTGTCCTTTGTACTTAATTCACTATCTGATCACATCGTGCCTGACCACAGAGCAACATGACTTGGCATACCAGCTTCAGAATTCAGACCCTATCTGATCACATCGTGCCTGACCACAGTGCGACATGACTTGGCATACCAGCTTCTGAATTCAGACCTGGAGCAATTAGTCGTGTCAGCTAATGTGTCCTGGTGTCAGATTTTTAAAAAAATGCACGACAGCTCAAGATGTTTGTGAAAAGCTCACAGTTGTATAATGAAAAGACATTTGGGAAAGTGAATTATACTGTTTAAAGTTTGGGTATCTAAAGTGCCCGTGCTCTTACACCAGTATGTTTTGTTTAACACTGGGTCAGAAACCTGCTCATAATCTGTGACCCCAAATTTATGGTTTGTTCTGCTCAGTATAGACGTTACATGGTAAAATACCACCATTCCTAAAGTAGAGTAATTAATAGTCACTAGTTATCAGAAATGATTGCCGAGTTAAACTATCTTTTTAATATCTTAGGTCATTCAAATGTGCTCTCTAGATGTGTGTCAAGGCAGCCTTTGACAGCCCGTGGCCCCGCATTTTCATTCACAGCCAGTCTGCTTGAGCATAGACAACAGTAATGAGATCATGCCAAATCTAAATCTAAAATGATTTGCTGTTACACACAGGACAATAATTCACATTCACACATGCAGCTTGTTTCTGCCTAATGTATTATGTATGTGTGCTCTGTCTTTGGCCATAAGCAACCCCTGAATCCTCTCGTTCACCCAAATAAACAGGCCGACCAACAAACACAATGAATTACTCATGAGTCATTAGCAATTAATGGCCCTCGTTCTGTGCTTTCATTTCCAAGTAGGAGTGCCGAGGAGACTAAATATGTCTGAGAATGAGCTTGCAGTCATGCTTCGTTTCTCCATCTAGTAACTGCCTCTTTATTGTTTATTCCATCATTGACATTTGGTGTGTTTGTGCCTGCTGAGGAGATTTTTCTGCATGTATGTAAAACTTAATTTTTGTTGTTTTCATTTGAGCTTTTCAGGAACTAAAAGTGTAGCCTGATGGCCATGCGGTTTTGAAAGTATTGAACTGAGAAAGACTTCTCGGTTGGTGTGAAATCCTCAGCGTATGAACTAATGTGTCTGTGCTCTCATGTTTATGATCGTCTTCCTGTGAGCCAGGACAGCACCGCACCCTTGGCCCAAGTATTTCCAAAGTGCGGAGCTTGAAGTTGGACAGCAGTATCTGGAGCAATGAACTGGTGGAGGTATGTATGGCATACAGTAAGTACGGTGTGTGTGCAACTTCCAGAGGTGGGAAATCTCACATGTGCAAGTCCCAAGTCTTAACCTGTAACCTGTAAGTCCAAGTTATTGTGAGGAGAATCGAGCAAGTCGACTCCCTACTGTAATTCAAGTCAAACAAAGTTCTGATGGAATATCATGAAATTGGGAATATCACGTATTTGTTACATTTTCACAAACTTTAATTGTGCATTCGTCGGCTGTAAACTAACCCATAGCTATTAAATGAAACAGGCATGCTTTCATGGCTATCAAACGCTTCCCAATAAAATACATAATCAGCTCTAATAACTTAATATTAGCTTTCTATTTAACATTTACCAGCGAATACTGTAAGTTAGCTAACATACACATTCATCTTCTTACCTTTCTTTGTGAGCTTTATAGTGATGGATGAAGCTGGTTCTGTCGCTGATTTTTGAACTGCTGACTTTGCATACCGCTGCTCTCTTCTTACTGTTATCATCAACAATACAGTCATTGAATCCAAATTTAGTTATTTTTGGATTAGGCCCCTCCATAGCTACGACCTACATTATCCTCTGCTGGTCTGCTGCTTCCTGGTAGGTTGCCAGGTTTGCACGCGTTGACCTAGAAATCATCCAACTGTGTTTTATAAACAAAACCTCTCAAAATCTAAAAAAAAATGAAAATATAATAAACAAAAGTGAAGTTATTTTGAGTCATCTCTCAAGTGTAAGTCCAGTTTCAAGTCAAAATACAAAGTCAGAGTTGAGTCTTTTTCGAAACAAGTCTCAAGTCCTCAAATTTGCAACTTGTGTCTGATTCAAGTGAAGTCATGTGACTCAAGTCCCACCTCTGGGAACTTCATTTTAAATTGAGAGTCAATATTTCACCCCCAGATGTTTTCCTATTGTCACAGGTATTTTGTGTCTGTGTGACTTTCTTACTCGGATACAGTGAAATTTGTTTTGCATAATAATAATTGATATACAAATGAGCCTCACCTGTACGTGTCCCCTGTGTTCACCAACCCCTCAGCTCTTCCTGGAGGTGGGGAACAAGAACGTTAACAGTTTCTGGGCTGCCAATCTTCCCTTGGAGGAGGATCTCCACAGTGGGGCTTCGGTGGAGCAGCGCACCACGTTCATCCGCAGGAAGTACAGGGAGAGGAAGTACCGGAGGGTCCTGGAGGGTCTTCAGACCCTGGAGCAGCTCAACCAGGTTATTATTTTTTTTCATCTGAAAACAAAACAGAAACAAACAAACAAAAAAATCCCAAAAGGCCTTAACAGCACGAAGCCTCCAAACAGTTTCTGCGTGGGTCTGCATTTACGCAGATTAGCCCCCCTCCGTATTGTTTTCTTGCGTCGAATGGAGATGCAGAGCGTGAGAAGGAATGAAGGGGCAAAGTAAGGAAATATACCAGCTAGCTAAGTGGAAAAGTGGATTAGGTTCCACAACAGAAACGCTCGAGTTGGTTTTATTGCAGCTCCTGCATGTGTGTGTGTATGTGTGTGTGTGTATGTACGTGTGGGAGTGTGTGATATGTACATGTCTGCCAACATGCGCGCTTCTGCACTGCACATGTGTGAATTTGCTGTTATACTGGGGGATATTTGAAGGGTGGTGTAGGACAGGAAGTGTGACAGAGACCGATTGTGGCTGCCTAAAAGGGTTTGTGTGTTTGTGAGAGAGAGACAGAAGAGGACAGGAAGAGAAGAAGGTGGAAGTGGGTGTTTGCTTTCTGTCTGTATAGTCTGCTTTTATTAATGGTCTCAGCAGATGGGGATCAGTATGTCATAGACCCATTTTACACACTGACTCAACATAACTGTGGATGTGTGCTGAAATAATAAACCATTCCATTTAACTATTCCACTTAACATAATGTATTAAGCCACCAACAACAATACAAAAAAGTATTTTTAAGGGCACTGAGCTTAATCTCATTGGACACGTTGTTCCACTTCTGTGTCACATACACTTAGTGTAACACAAGTATGATTGTGAAAAAATAAAACCTTTTCCTTTGGGAGTTTTCTCCGGAGCAAATAATATTGGTAATTTCCGCACTGACATTCATGCAATTTTGAAATCATGCAATGGCATTTTAACAGGTTTTATGGGCCCATGGGTCATGAAACTCACTGAACAATAAAGTTTTGTTTTAAGAGTCGATTCAAGTAATGAAATAAAAAGATGGCATAGTGATTTATACTTGACTGTGTCAATATGTCTCTTTCTATAATCTCAACAGTGCGTGCATATACTAGGATGTGTTGTTTGGCGTTTGGTTTCTTCATTTCCTGCCGTCTCTCTGTTTCTTAGTCCCATGTTTCCTATTAAAAGCTCATATCTCGGTGACCTCCACAGAGTCTCCGTAGGCCACATGACCTAGAGAGGGGGGTGTCAAAGGACCTTCCTATATCATTACACACACGCATAAACCCTCCAGTGGCTGCAGTAATTGCTGTGACACAGAAGGTCATTTCCAGAGACGATACAGAATAAGGCCAGGTTGCATGGGAGTGTTTTGCCGTAATCTCACCCTGTCATGTGTGTGAGAGAAGAAGAGCGAGTGAATAAAGACCTATAAATTTCATTTTTTGCTCATGAAATGAATGTTTTTGCAGAAATTGTCAACATAGACATAAATGAATCCGTGTACTTATTTCAGTGCATGTCCCTTGCGTACGTGTGCAGGTCATATTGACAGGTGCTCTGTGTGTGAACTTTGCCTGTGGTGTATGTAGGTGCAGCCTCACCGCACTTCACTTTCAGATGCATCTCACTTGTTTGTGGCAGATCGATGCAGCTTACCCGCTCGGTCCAAGTCCGATAAAAGGAGAGGTTACTCGTTGAAATTTTGCTATTTGCCACTTGACTTCTCTGTTGATCTGCTTTGTTGCAGGTCATTGTGCACAATGTCACTTCAATTGGCCTGACTGATAGGAAGAGACAGACAGAGAGGGAGAGAATATTTTCCTCAGTCAGACTATATTCATCAGGCTCTTTTATCTTTGTTCTCGTAGCTGGCTTGCCGTCTGAAACAGGTGAAAAGTTTTAGCAAAACCTGTCTGCATGATCACATACACCTCGGTGCAACAAAAGTGATTGCACCTGTGATTTCCAGTTAAGGCTGATTGCATGAACAAGGTTATAAAAAAAGTTAACACTACATCTTTCTCAGTTTTGGTTTGGGTTGTATCTAATACAGTGTGGCTCCACGTGGTAGTGAATTGCCTCAACAAGTACGAAGCCAGATTGTGAGACTTGATAAAAATGGGAGCAGCCACAAGAGCAACAGAAGGCTACTGAGCTTAAGCTGAAACAGCTGCAGCAGTGGTGAGGAGGTATAGGAAGAGCCTCGCTAGCGATAGCAGAAGGTGCAGTGTCTGTCCTCGAAAATGATGCCACGCACAATTCACTGTTTACCCAGCCTTGCATTGATAAACAGATGGGTAAGTGCTTCTGCCTTGGTACAATGATTATTCGTGGAACTCGGTGTTTCAGTGACAGTGTGAAGGACGTCACTTGAAGTCAGCCTCTAAGGGTGGTGCTCCCCAGTATGACACTGATCTCAGACATAGTGCACAAACACGTTTTTAAAGGAGGGAAAAAGTGACAGTGATGACCTGGTCATGTGTGAACCCTGACTAGACTAGTGACTTGAAAGCAGAAGGTAGAGCAACAAAGAGCAGCTGAATCCTCTGAGAAGAATGGCAAAATATCTCTGCAAAGATTTGTACGAGACTGGTATCATCCAGGTTCAGGAGGCTTTGTCATCAAAAAGGAAGGTAACTGTATAAAATTAAAAGAATTGAATCTCACTGTTGATGACTGTAGTTACATTTGTTGCAGCAGGTTCTTAAATATGATCTTTCACTATAGTTTAATAAATCATACTTTTTTTGTTTTTACAATAACTGGCTTCATTCTTCTTGGGCACTTTCAAATAAAATTGTATTAAATGGGCAGAAATTCTAATTATTTAAAATAATATTGACTCAGTTTAGTTGTACACTGTATATAACTTCTGATTCTGATTTTCTACTCCTATTAAAGGTGAAATTCAACACCATATATTTGGAGAAGCAAAAGTTTACTTCAGTTTTATTTGTGGAGGTGAAGTGTTTGTCTTCAGGACTGAATGCTGAAGTAGGTGCTGAGGTACCTTAAAGCAGTTTCTCTAATGAACACTGGATGATGCCTCTAAAGAAAATTCAGTGCATTCAGTCAAGGCCAAGCACTTATATAGACAGACTTTTAGATGGAAAGCAAGTCAGAGAAAATAGAAAAGTCAGAAATTTCAATAAGAAGTTAAAGTCTTGGATATCTCTCTTCTTCTGGTTTCTTTATGGTAATGTTTGAATGGCTCAGACTGATTGACAGGTGTCTCGGTGGTGGTTGCTCTGATTGTTGGTCTTTAACAGACTTTTGACTGATTTTTGTATTTTTGGTGGGTTTTGGGTTTTTGTCCACATTCTTCATCTTCATGTCTAATGACAGATGCATTATGCATTTTTGTAGCGTTGCCCTATCGCACACATAAGCGCACAACAGGAGATTGTCCATATCAGACTCACCTATTGGAAATGCTCTGTTTGGTTTATGTGCAGGGTGTTAGTCTGGGTAAAGTGTGCAGGAGGCGGGACATGATGCAGCCAGTTAGTAATTTGGTCATAAACATGTCACTCACCTTGTCTGACGATTCTGGCGCCAGCTCTTAATGACAGAAGTTCACTAATCTCGTCATGTCTCCAGTTAAGTATTTTCTTTGGCGTCTTCATTGTAAATGACCATTTTCCTTCACCATCGGATGTTCGTATTCTTCCCATTTTGCAGCAGTCACGTGATAAAATGTCATCAACACGCCCATTGGCTCCATGTGAATACTCTATACACTGCTGGTTTCTCAGATGGTTCACTCCAGCTCACTTGGACCTTACGGGCACTTTGTACTAGGGAGCTGGCAGAATAAAGTCCGCCTAATGTCCAGGTCAGCTGACTTGGACATTTACCTTCTCACATACAGCTCTTCCAGGTAATGTCTAGATAATCTCAAGGTCCCAGTGCATGTCTGAAAAGGGCTTAAGTTTGTGTTGTAGTTTTTCCCATTTGTTTCTTTTATTTGACTTAATGTATGATTACAGGCACTTAACATGGATTTCATACATTATAATTAAAATAAACTGGGTATTTATTACCTGGCAGCTTAAGAGCTTAATATATTTTGCTTGTTATATGGTATATACGCAATGCTGCATGGAAGCATTTAAGGCAAAAACAAACAAAACAGTACTGGATGACTCTGGTTTTTACAATAGACCGCTTGAGCCATACATTCCAAATATCTGTTTTAAATTTTATCATGCTTTTTTTTTTTTTCCTCTATTGACCACTGGTAAACAGGTCTGTGTGTAGTCTTTAACCTGCCACAATGATGTCATGCTTTGCATTGCATACTTGGTTGTGTTTGTGTTTACAGCATATTCCCTATATGTCTGCTGCTGTTATTTTTCTCACTTTGTTGTTTTTCCGTCATTCTTCCCACATTTCTTTCTTCGAAACTGTTAGTTTCATTATATTTAATATGGCCCATTTGTCCTCTTCTTATTTGCCGTACTTCGTTTTTCACGGGGATTAGAGATTTAATGATTCCCACAGGGAGTATTAAAGTTTGATCTTATTTTAACTTCTCTTTTGAGATCAGTGAGCGGAACTCAATTCTAAACTTTATATGGTTTTCTGATGCTGGTTTATAGACTCTTTGTCCTCTATCAACCTGGCATACACACACACACACGGAGCAACAGCAGACTGTTCTGCCTACACAGAGAAGTGAGACCATATTCACTTTTCCAAGGATTGTCTCTGCTTCATTGTCTGGGATGTTAAAATTTTAAAGATATTAATCCACCTATAGAAAGCTGCTTAGAAAAGCAATGAGCTATGACTGTACTTATTTAGTCTTTTATTGGTATACACACTGTGTGACAGGTGGACTTACTTACAAAAGATATATAACCACTAAAAATCAGCCTGAAGAATCTGATCTGTAACAAATACCGTACTGTCCTTGACATAGATTACTGAAGACTGGTATAAACGGTGTCGACATCTCAGCGGACCTCTGTGAGACCAAGGAAGCACAGTATAGAGAAACATTTCATGTGTACTTTTTTTTTATGTGTGCGCAGGCACTGTGTGCAGCTGTGGTGTCGCCTGATGTGCTGCAGACCATGGCGCTGGTGTTCAGTGGGGCAGATGTAATGTGCGCCACCGGGGATCCAACCTATTCCACCCCGTACCTCTTGGCCCAACGTGCTGGACAGAAGCTACAGATGGAGTTCCTGCACCAGAACAAACTATCTGGTAGGCAACCTTTTGGTTCCCATTTTAGTTAAAGCCCTTACCTGAGTCGAGCCTGCCATTGTAGCATGGCACATATGCAGATTACAATTAACCACTTGAAGTCTTTATTAATTAGTTTGTTGAAACAATAGGTCTGTGGTTTAATACAGAAATGAACCAAAGCACACCTCTCATTTCTAACTGGATGTCATCGGCTAACATGTCAGATGTCACTAGCAGATTTTAGCTGTAGCTAATTTGTGAATAATCTGTTCAAAACATCTAAGCGTAGTACACGCGGTACTACAGTACATATTGTACTGCATTTAATTCATTCAGCAGCAAAGAGAAAATGAGCTCCAGTTAGAAGGAAGCTTTTCCATGGTCATCGTTCAATCCTGC